GGGATGGAGGGACGGGTGGGCGAGCGAGTGAGTGAGTGGCAGCCGCCAAGCCTTGGCCGAGAGCCAGGAAGGGCCTCCCCGGAGGAGGAGGAGGAGGGAGGCGCAGAGCGGGAGGGAGGGAGGGAACCCCAGGGGTCATCTAGTGACGGCGCCCCAATCGAAAATTTGACTTTTAAAAAAAAATATCTTTCAATTTTTTAATTTTTCCCGCGGCACACCAGGCAACATCTCGCGGCACACTAGTGTGCTGCGGAACAGTGGTTGGGAAACACTGATCTAGAGGGCCCCAGGTTCCCTGAACCAGGTATTTTATGTAGAGATTATCACCAGATCTTAGATTTTAGAGATTATTAGATTAAGCAGCCAATTGCTTTTGTTAAATATACAGTGGTACCTCAGGTTAAGTACTTAATTCGTTCCGGAGGTCCGTACTTAACCTGAAACTGTTCTTAACCTGAAGCACCACTTTAGCTAATGGGGCCTCCTGCTGCTGCCGCGCCGCCGGAGCACAATTTCTGTTCTCATCCTGAAGCAAAGTTCTTAAGCTGAAGCACTATTTCTGGGTTAGTGGAGGCTGTAACCTGAAGCGTATGTAACCTGAAGCATATGTAACCTGAGGTACCACTGTATAACTAAATAAAATAGGTGCAATCGCTTAGATTTCTCAGGTTGGAGAGTTTCTTTGTGGGCTTGAGGTGTGCACTGCCTTCCTGATTGCTTATGGCCACACATGTGACCAGTCCAGGAATCACCACCCTTGCTCTAGTTTGGTTTTGCTTTCCCTCAGCCACGTTGTCTCCCCAACAACATGATCTGGTTGGGGATACCCAAGGAAGGAGAAATCACAGATTGGGTGTGTGTGTGTGACACAGAAGCAACAGCCCATGGAAACAATGGCTGTGAAAAGTGCCACTGTTTGAAGGACTATTCCCTTCTGCTCTCTTTAAAACAGGGGCTGCTAACCTGTGGCTTCTCAGACGCTGTTGGACTCAGTCAACATCGCCAATGGTCAAGTATGATTGGAGAGTTGCAGTTGAGCAGCATCTGGAGGCAGTAGAGGCTGGTGTACTGGGGGAAATGGGGCAATGCCCCACCAACCTCAAACTCTCCTCAGCCAGCCCTCACCTCCCTGCCATCTAATTTACAACCAGTGCAAGAGGTACAACTATCTGCCAGCTTCCTCCTCTTTCTTATTCTCAAAGTTTGCCCATGTACAACACGGCTGGGAAGATGGGGACAAAACTATAATTTCTTGGCTCTGCCTATCACTGGCTCTGGTCTCACCTAAAGTTGCCTCTGGCACTGGCTTTCTACCCTACCAATCCCTATGGGCACCAGTCCCCAGTGTCTGGAGGGCCACCCCTGCCTTAAAATACACAGCTAAGAGGCTAGGTGCAATTGTACTTAAAGAATTGTTTTCCGGTTTAATGCTGACTATATCCAACAGCAAGTCTTCGAACCTTGCCTCCCTGCATGCAACTGCCCCAAGCTTAGGTAAAGGTAAAGGGACCATTAGGCCCAGTCGTGACCAACTCTGGGGTTGCGGCGCTCATCTTGCTTTATTGGCTGAGGGAGCCGGCGTACAGCTTCCGGGTCACGTGGCCAGCATGACTAAGCCGCTTCTGGTGCACAGAAATGCCGTTTACCTTTCCCGCCAGAGCGGTACCTATTTATCTACTTGCACTTTGACGTGCTTTCGAACTGCTAGGTTGGCAGGAGCAGGGACCGAGCAATGGGAGCTCACCCCGTCGCGGGGATTCGAACCGCCGACCTTCTGATCAGCAAGTCCTAGGCTCTGTGGTTTAACCCACAGCGCCACCTGCATCCCAACCTTACCTGAAACAACACCTCTGGAAATAAAGAAGTGTGGCCCTTTCAGGTCCCAGGGAAGGCCTGTAGCTCAGGGCATCAACTTTGCATAAAGAAGTTCTCAGGTTCAAGTCCCACCATCTCCAGGTGGGGCTTTGAGAGGACCCTGTCCGACACCCTGCCAGGAGAGCTGCTGCCAGTCAAAATATTGAGCTACATAGATCAGTGTTGTGGCTCAGTACAAGGCATCTTCTGTGTTCCCATGTTCCTAAACGACTCGTTGGGGTTATGTCCTGGTTTGCTTTCAGAGAGCATCCAGACAGCTGCTCAGGGACCTTGGGAAGGGGTGTGGTATATAAATCAAATGAATGAATGAATGAATGGGCACTCCCAATCCCTTGCATTTGAACATAGATATGCCTGTGCCAGCAGGGCATTCTCATTTCATGTACATTTTCAGCACCGGCATGTTGCTTCGAAAGAACCTGCTGAGAGGCAGCTTGAAGCCATCCATTTCTGATACTGAGTCGAGAAGAAATCAAGGCAGGCACCTGTCTGCTTCAAAGCAGCCCAGAGGCGTCTTCCGTTCCTCTTCCACACTGCATCCGAGTGAGTGCATTGGAATGAAAGTAAATGAGGTCTGAATAAGATTAATAGGGATTTAAATGAACTGTGCCCACCAGGATTTTTTTGGTCATGAGCTACTTATTACTGGGCCTCAGGGGATTGTTCCACCAGCGCAGGAGTCCCACAAAGGCACATTGTTAACATAATCACTTTCACTCGAAGGGACAATAAATGTAGCTAGGTCATAATGAAGAGCGGCTGATTTGTGGTGATGTGTTGCAAAGGGAGGGTGGGGAAAAAGGAGGAGGGGAAAGCCCACCCCCACCCTACAATATGCAAATGTGTTTTCTGTTAACACAACACAACCTACCTGCATATTACTGAGAGGGAGAAAATGGGAGACCTGGAGAGAGAATTCGCTGCAGGAATCTGGGGCATTATCCTCTGGGAACCTCCCAAGTAGGCCTGGCGAAAATGAGTTGGAAGGAACGCAGCAGCACAACTGGGCTCAAGCAGCATTTTAATTATTGCTCCCTCCTCTCTGAGAAAAATCATCCCATGAGAAAGAATTTAAATTAGGCTGTAATCCCAAACCCCTTTACTTGTGAGCCCCATTGAACTTAATGGGACTTATTTCTGAGCAGGCATGTATAGTCTTAGTATTCTCTTCAAAGATGGGAGGACGGGAGTTAGGTACAACATGAAGATGGTAAATTCTAGCCCTCCAGCGTATTAGTGTTGGGGATTAAACTGAACCTGAGGCTCTTACCCAATACTTTTTATGACAACTCATGTTTAATCATCGAAAGGAGCAGCTTTTTTGCACCTCTAATTAAAATTTTGTTTTACCAGAGTCCATTGGATGTGATTTTTTTCCGCTTTGCTGATTTGTACATGACTACATGACCTGGTATGTAGCCCTCCATGCTATTGCCATGAAGAAAATTAAGGAGAAGGTATTATAACAAAGATTGGTGTTAACTACACAGGACATTAGCTGACAGAACTATTTTGTTCTGGGCAGGAGTGGTGGTAATGAATGCTGGTGACATAATTTTAAAAAGCCTTTTCTTTTTAATACATTCCTACTGCTTGTATCATACATTTTGCAAAGGCCTTTTGCTAAAAGCAATAAATACGGCTGTGTGTTCTTTGTGTGGAGAACTGGATTCAATGGCGCCTATGAGAACCTTTTATTGTTTCCATTATTAACTGTAGGGAGACAGAACTCCTAAAAAAAGAAAAGAAAAGAAAGAAAAGCCAATTCTAATTTCTATATAGATTATGCTAATTCTCTCAACTGTCACAGAAACTTCCAAGGGCAATAAAATGAGGAGTCAGTAGAGGAAATCTGCCATTCACCTGAATATTTCTTTTCAGTCTTGCAGTATTTAGGCTTCAGGAGAGCTTCTTATTACTAGAACATCAAAAAATATATATGCTGTAGTACTTCTAGGTTACCAGGCATGGCCAAACTTGACCCTCCAGCTGTTTTGGGACTACAATTCCCATCATCCCTGACCACTGGTCCTGTTAACTAGGGATGATGGGAGTTGTAGTACCAAAACAGCTGGAGGACAAAGTTTGGCCATGCCTGGGTTATACGAAGAGAGGTGGCTTTAAGGATGCAACGTGTGATATGACCTCATTTAATAATGAAGAATGGTAAAACAGGCCACCTGCACTTATTATCCAGGAACAGCAACAGTGAGTGTTATTCACGTGAAGCTGCTAGACAGGAATACTAAAAATACCAGAAAGCTACTGACCCATAACAGAGACCTGTCTTTTATAGCACCCAGGAAGGAACCTTCGGCAACTTATCTTTATGACACCAGCAGATGATCCATTTCAGTGAGACTAAAATTCTGATATTCATTTGTTACAAGTAGTCTTTAAGCTGCAGAACAGGTAATACTGGAGGTTCTAATATTCACAAAAACAAAGACTTTCTGGAGAAGTTCGAGCAGGTTATCACCCAATTCAGAAAAGCCCATACACAAGAAAACACAGGTAGAAGAAACCAACCTTCATCTCTTTGGGTGGGTAGCCAACTGAATTCCTAGTAACTCCCTACAGTGGACAAGATGGAAATGGTTGCCTCTTCCCAGAGGGACAATAAATACAGAAGGTTTGTAGCCATCAAGTACATTACTGGCGAGAGAACCAAAACGTGGTCAAAAATATGAGGACCGCATCTAACTGGACTTGTATCAACTGCACCTCAGAATGTTCATCCAGTGGAACCTCAGTTCACGAACGGCTCCATCGATGAACAATTCGGAACCCGAATGCTGAAAATCCAGAAGGAATTGCTTCCATTTTTGAACGCACCTTGGAAGTCGAATGGCTTCCACTGCGTGTCTTTCTATTTTTCCCCAATGGATTTTGCTGGCCACCCACTGATCCTTGGTTTTCGAACGTTTTGGAAGTCGAACGGTCTTCCGGAAAGGATTACGTTCAAAAATGAAGGTTCCACCATATGTCAATTTTGTTCTTTCAGGCTTTTCTCAGTGCTGAATTCAGAATGGAACTGACAACCACCCACATGCCCCAAGGTGGTTAAATCAGTCCCAAAAACTTTGGTTGATACAGGATGAAAATATAATACACAAAACGTCAGCTAAGATGATGACATTTTTAAAAGGATAAAGCAGCCCACAAGGCCTGTGTGCTCATAGACAGAGGAGGTGTACAACAGCAAGGAGTATAGGGCATATTTTCTTCCAGGAGCCTGTTCCCCACCTTTCTGCTTCCCCTTTCTCTGTTCCGCAGGTTGTTTGGCGGTCTGAGTCCTCTCCTCTAGAGTTTTTTCCTAGGTTTGCCCAAGCACGCTGCCCAAGCAATCTTTTGTTTCTCAGTGGCTCCATTTTGGCTACACTGTCATCATAACTCGGTATGGCTATCAAAGGGAGTGACGAAGGCCATGTTACTTAACAGAACTGAAACCTGCATATTAGAGGAAATTTTAGAACTGCCCTACAGTTACCTCTACTGCGAGATTTCACTACTACTCATCATTCGCGGCATATGAGTTATAGTTCCCATTCATTCAGCCCACCTGAACCTAAAAAAGAGAGTGCTCAAATACATCTCAAAGCAGGGATGACAAAGGTGACTTACTCATGTAATTAGGCACGAACAGTAGAGGGAAGACAGTTAATCTGGCTGAGAACAAATTATCCAAGGGAAGCTATATTCACAGGAAGATAATTAGCAGCAGTCTTTTTTAAAAAAACGACGTGAAAACACACCCATTCGGATATAAAATCAGGTATATTAAGCACGTCAATGGCATACAAAATAAGAAGCTGTAGGAGCTGATCCCTTTCATCAATGACACACAAAATGAGCTGTAGTGAATGATCCCTCTGTCTTTTCGAAGTATGGAGAAATGCATTTTGTGGGGCCAAAACACATTTCATGGGACCTGCATTTTGCATCTTGAGCATCACAAAAGAGATGAACTGCTCCCTCCAGGCCCCAGTAATCGCTAAGATCTTCCATGCTACGTAGGTATGTCCAATAAACCATACATGTATTTACAACAGATCAGATGAAACAATAATCTTCAAACCATTTTAGGAAATACTTCCTCTTGACCAGAAACAAGAATATGCACAGCTTTCCCAAAACTGTGTTACATTTAAGTTGTACTTCATCAATGTAGTCTCAATGGTCGATAGTAACCCTGTCTTGAAAGTTTCATCATTAAGCTGTTTTACCGCTTCTTCTTGGTTTCTTTCTTGGGTTTCTTGCTCAATGATGCTGTGGCAGCTTTGGGTTTCTTTACCACTTCTGAAGTTTTTGTCTCATAGTTTTCGGTGTCCTATTAAAAGTTTGTTAAGGGAAATAAAGTCAACAGAGATTTTGTTCCTAGGGTGACAGCACACTAAAAACATTATGAGCCCCTCTTGTGTTATTTATTGGCATAGCCCAAGGCTGCCATGGTGGGAAAGAAAGTGGGAGAGAGCAGTTTTTTAAAAATCTAATATGCATTCCGTTGCTTAATCCCTAGATGCTTTACTTTCACATTACTTAAGCAAGAAATTCAAAAAATTGCTTATGTAGACTGATGCTATGTATATTTTCTCGAAAGCAGAATCACATACTGAGCAATTACTTCCAAGAAAGTGTGTGTAGGGTTGCAGGCTTAGAGAATGCAGGGTGGCAACAAGAGGGACTTCTTGGTGGTGACTCCTCAATTTATAGAACACTCTCTCTGAACAGGGTCACTTGCCTCCTATTTTACTGCCCTTTCGACACCAGTCAAATATTTTCTTGTTCTCCCAGGTCTTTTAAGATTTTAATGTTGTTTCTACGCCTCTAATTTTAGTCTCTGTTTAATCTAATCACAATTAGTCTTAACCTGCATTTGGAGTTGTTCATGTGATTGTGCTGATGCTCATACCTGTTTTTCTCTCTCTTGTTGAATGGCTACATGCTTTAGAATAGTTTGCATTTTGTATGTTTTAATATTTTATATTGAATTGCATGTCACCTGGAGGATCATCACACGAGGCGACAGGAATATCTAACAAGCAACTACTAAATAGAGCTGTGTATGGGGAAAAAAACCTTTATTTTCAGAATAGGAGCGCTTGTTCCTAAGCTCTTTAAATTGAGTGAGTAGGAAAAAGAAAGAGCTGGGAAGGGTGAACTGCCAGCAGCCAGCCAAAGATGCAGAAAAAGAGAAAATAAAGACCATGCTAGCACTATGGGTTTTGAGGAAACTGGAGGAGCTGCAAAAGGATGGAGATGGATGCTGCCACACACACACACACACACACACACACACACACACGGAGATGGGGTGCAGGGAGGCAAAAGCTGTGGAAAAAGGAGGACTGGTAGCAGGCAATCTCTGGTTAAAAGTAGTATCTCAGCTAGGTGGATTTTGTTTTTTTGCACATGCCTGTAATACACCAAAGTATCTTTTCTTTGCTATTTTGTCAATACAAGCATAACGGCACATGCCTAAAGGGCTTTCTGTGATAAATACAGGAGGGACAGCTGTGTTAGTTCATTGTAGCAAAAACTGGACTCTAGTCCACAAACACTCATGCCATTATAAGTATGTTCATATTTAAGGTGCTGCTGGACTCCATGTTGTTTATGTATAAAAGGATCATTCCTGTATATACTGTACATACATAGGGCAATAAAACATGTAGATTTGGGCTTGGCAAGTTCTTTGGCATGGTAAGTGAGCACAGATGTCCATTTTTAGGACTGCTCAATTCTGTAAGTTTCAATGCGTAGGAATTTCAAAACTTTAATAGAAAAAACAAAACCCGGCTATTCAGGTCACCAAAGCAAATAGATGCAAATGAAGATTTAAACTGGAAAGGCAACTGTAGAGAGTAATTTCAGATTTATTCATCTCAAATTAAAATAAAGAACTGGAAAATTTGTTAACAACACATTTCGCCCATTGATCAACTGTCTTGCTGTTGACTGGGAGAGACGATCGCAGAAAACATTTCTGCTATGGGAACCGACATCTCATCCTCTTGTTAAGAAAAGAAAAGAAAAAAAGAATCTCACAAATGCATGGGAACAGAGCCAGGCTCCTGGAAGAAACCACACACAGACTGCTTCCCCTCATTAACCAAGCTTTGGTTTAAATATGTTTTAGGCTTCTAGAGTGTCTCAAATCCATGTGTGCCAACTGGGAAAGGCCATAGAAAAATGGCAGAGAGATCTGTGGTAGCTTCCAGTTTCTAAGAAAGTGGTCCAAACAAGACACGGGGAGGAGAACAGCTTGATAGTATCTTTATCATCAATGAGCTTGGCTTGAATCTTTCTCAAGTTACAGAGCTATTGCAATTCACACTCACGAGGCATTCCAAGAAGGGAGACTTGGCTTGCTTCCTAAGGGATGTGATTCACCCACAGGAAGCTGGCCAAAAGAGTTCAACACTCTAGGGAAATGGGGAAGGAGGCATTTATTATTCAGGGACTCCAAGTTCATTGCAGCTGCAAGAAGATGACTGCTGCCTTCTAATCTTCAATCCAAAGAGTCTTTTCAAAAGCTGATTCCCCTACATGTATGGAGGTTGCCTGGAATAGGAAGCAGACTGGAGCAGGCAGAGTTGGTGTCCTAAATAAGGAACATCCAGGCCTGCCTATTAGCTTATTGTTCAGAATCAATATAATTTGAATCAGAAATAAATACAACAGTGTATTGCAGAGGGTTCTATGTCTGGTTCCGCCATAATGTACACTGCAATACAGCCCTCATTCAAGTGCTCCAATTATTCAATTCTCCAGCCATTTTAGGGAGGTAAAACTCATTTATTAAATAATTTACTAACCATACTTAGGGAACGCATTGAAAACAATTGCGCAGTAATACCAATTTTTGGAAATAATCAGGAAAACCCATTCAGCACATGCAATGCTCTGGGCACTACTCCTAAGACGGCACCCCATTGAACAAAGTAGGGTTTAGTTCCAACAAACACATGGCAAACTCTCAACAAGGAACCATAGCCAATCCTGGTCTATAATGAATGTGCTTTATCAATCTTTCTTTTTCTGTATTAAATTTATACATTGCCTTTCCTCCCAAAGGAAGCCACCTTCAGCTTTACAAAGATGTTCAATGCATGTGTCAGTCATCAGGTGGTGCTGAGATTTTGCAGAATGTGAACTTCTAAGCTCTCCAAAGTGAAGAGTTTCCTCCCACAAAAGCAAGACAGAACATGAGAGTCCCCCACATAAGCCATTTAAGAAGCACAAAGAGCACAGGAAAAGCCCTGCTGAATCAGACCAAAGGGCTGTAGATCAACATTTGGCTCCATAGTGGCTAACCAGAGGCCAATGGGAAGCCCACCAGCTGGCCATTAGCACAACAGCACCCACTCATGTTCCCCAGAAAATGTGTACTGCCTCTGCCTCTATTCAAAAGTGTACTGCCTCTGATACTGGAGATAATGACTGTTGTGACACTATAATTTAAAGGCAATGGGGACCATCACTCTCATGTTTCTGATCACTGTCCAGTACAGAATACTGAACACGATGGTCCATTTTATCTGATCTAGAATCATAGAACTGCAGAGTTGGAATCATAGAACTGTCCTGAGGTACTGGGTAATCATCAATATGCAGCTGGCCCATACAGGGATCAAACCTGCAACCTTGGCGTTATCAGCACTACGCTCTAACCAGCTCAGCTACCCACTGCATCTAGAGGATGTAAAAGCTGGTGATCCTCAAGGCTTGTGCACCACATTAGCTCTGTTAGATGCTCCAAGAATTCCAGCTCTTGTTCTCAAATCATTCCAGCCTGCACAGTTTTAGAGATTAGTTAGAATGCTTGATGGCAAAAGTGTCCTTTTTCATCCTAAAATGTATAGTACAGGAAAAACTGCTGAATCCTTTCAGGTCAACCCACAGATTTCTCCCAGCTCCTGAACATTCTGTGATGCAGACCTACAGGAGCATGTATGAATCAGTCAGGTGTTCTGCTGATGCAGCAATATATACATGTAGCTAAACTGCAGGTGCATCATTTGGGTGTGCATAAGGCAGGGCTGGATGATGGGGGAAAAGAGGTGATTCCTGTGTAAAAGCTGTGGGGCTCTGGGCACATATTTCAATCACTTTGTAGACACTTCTCTTGCCATTTTATATGTTGATTTGCTATGAGGAAAGCTCTCTAGGCCAAAGACAGGATAAATGCGGGCTGATGCATCTGTTAAGTACTGGAAAGTTTATTTTTAGGCTACCTACAGAAGATGAAACAGTTCCATCCAAGCCCCTCCCCAAAAACAGTCCAAATGCTGCCACACATATGGTCCACAGCTGGTTTTCTGACATACTACCCCCCCTTCCCCAAAGTAATACTATATCTACATTTATGAAACACCAGATGAAAGGCAGAAAAGATGAGTCATGTCAAAGGGACACCAGGGAAAAGGATGGCCATCAGCAGACTGGAAAAAGAGACATAAACTTCTGTTTTGGGCAAAGGTTGCCAATGGTTACAGATGCAGCTGTAAGCATCACCAGGCCTGCAAAAATTAAGTCCAGGCTGGTTAGAATAACTATATTCAAAGCCAGAATCTTCCATTTGCAGTTTTATCTATTGAGTAGATCAGAGAATGATCAAGTAGTCACTTCTGAAACAATCACAGGGCACCTATTGGAGCTTCTGCTGCTGGATATTGCCCAGCTAGCACTTACCCACAATAGAGCCTTCTTGGTGGTGGTTCCCTGTTTGTAGAATTCCTTCCCTGGTGAGGTGTCTCTCTCTCCCATATTAACATTCAGGAGGAATTTTAAAATGTTCCTATTTACCTTTAGATGGTCTTAATGTTTTAAACCTTTTTTAAAAAAAATAATTGTATTGTTTTATTACTTTGCTGCTTGCTGCCCTGGGATCCTTTGGAAGAAAGTACAGCATAGAAATTTAGTAAATAATAATAACACTCCAGAATACCATCAACACCAGCATCAACCAACTCAGCCAGGAATTTGTATTAACCTCCAATCTAACCATAAACCTTGTGAGCCTTATTATTGTTAGATCAAACTAGTCTTTCAATAACCTTTTAAAATCTTTTTTTAAAAACCTAAAGAAAAGACAAGAGGCAAAAAGTACCCATTTTCAACTATTTGAAGGGATGTCACAAATTTGATGGAGAAAATTCATTTTCTATTGCTTCAGAGGGTGGGAACAGAACCAATGGCTTCAAATGAAAAGGAAACTGGATTTAAACTAAATGCTAGTCTGATTTGAGGGACGCAGGTGGCGCTGTGGGTTAAAGCCTCAGCACCTAGGACTTGCCGATCGAAAGGTCGGTGGTTCGAATCCCTGCGGCGGGGTGCGCTCCTGTCGTTCGGTCCCAGCGCCTGCCAACCTAGCAGTTCGAAAGCACCTTCGGGTGCAAGTAGATAAATAGGGACCGCTTACTAGCGGGAAGGTAAACGGTGTTCCGTGTGCTGCGCTGGCTTGCCAGAGCAGCGATGTCACGCTGGCCACGTGACCCGGACGTGTCTGGGGACAGCACTGGCTCCCGGCCTATAGAGTGAGATGAGCGCACAACGGGCAGGGGTACCTTTACCTTTACTAGTCTGATTTGAGCTGCTTGACAGTGAGACAATGAGCCTTAATCAGATATTTTTAATCAGAGACTGGATGGACAAAGAACAGGAGGGGATCTCATAGGCCATTTGTCCTTGCTTCCTTGCTGGTGAAGAAAATATGTTGCTATAGCATCCTCAATAGGTAGACCTCCATCCTATGCTTAAAAAATATATCTTCCAAGGTACAATGGTACCTCGCAAGACGAATGCCTTGCAAGACAAAAAAACTCGCTAGACGAAAGGGTTTTTTGTTTTTTTGAGCTGCTTCGCAAGACGATTTTCCCTATGGGCTTGCTTCGCAAGACGGAAACATCTTGCAAGTTTGTTTCCTTTTTCTTAACACCGTTAATACAGTTGCTACTTGACTTCGAGGAGCAACTCATAGAACGCGGTGTGGTAGCCTTTTTTGAGGTTTTTAAAGACTTTGGTGATTTTTGAAGCTTTTCCAAAACTTTCCCGACACCGTGCTTCGCAAGACGAAAAAAATTGCAAGACGACAAAACTCGCGGAACGAATTAATTTCGTCTTGCGAGGCACCACTGTAGTCTCACGCCATCAGGAAGGTTTTCTTAGTGCTAAGCAGAAATCCTGGATCTTGTAATTTTAAGTTTTTTTGTGATCTCTGGAGCAACATAAAAACATATTTGCTCTACCATCTTGTGCAATACCCTTTCAAATATCTGAAGATGGCTTTCCAATCGCCTTTGACCAGATGTCAAAGATGACCTTTGACCAGATGTGAAAGAGCCAGATGTTCTCTTTGACCAGATGTCAAAGAGAACAACAACTACCAGACTTTTAGAAGACATTTGAAGGCAGCCCTGTTTAGGGAAGCTTTTAATGTTTGATGTATTACAGTATTTTAATATTTTTTCGGAAGCTGCCCAGAGTGGCTGGGGATGCTCAGCCAGATGGGCGGGGTATAAATAATAAAATTATTATTATTATTTATTATTATTTTAAACACACCCAACTCCTTCAACCTTTCTGCATATGACGTGACCTCCAGAGACCTTACCATCTTTGTCACCCCCCTCCTCTGGACACCTTCCAGTTTGTCAATATCCTTTTTAAATTACCAGGCTGCAGAATGAGCAATTTCACTTTTTCGCTCTGCAGATAAGAACACCTTACCATTTTGTGTGTCTTTGGAATGGGAAGGATAATGGCCAGTACGCAGATGAGTTGGAAAATGGCACCAAAGAAGAGGCCATAGTGCAGGATGTTCTCCATGAACGTAGGCTCTGGGATTTCAGGAGGTGAAAAGTCCAGCTCAGCAGCCATTGCACAAGTCCACAAGTCCACCTTCAACAATTTCCGTTTTTCTGCTTCTGCAACGAAAAGAACAAATGTTATTTATTAAGTGCTATTTATTGTTTGTAAGTGGCTTTGAGATTCATTTGAATGAAAAGCAGCACAGAAATACAATCAATCTGCGAAGTTGCCGCCAGTCGGGAGTAGAATATACTAGGCATGGTGAGCAAAAAGCCTGACCTGGTATAAGACAGGACCTCTATGTTCCTGTGCGTGTTTCTCTGCTAGCAGGATAGTTTCATTTCAACTTAAGCTAGAAGGATGATTTTTATGTCTGAGTAGAAAAATCTGTGTGACTTCCTTCCCACCAACTTCAAACGCTACATTTGTTTGCTATCAGAACTGTCAAGTTGAAAACCCCATTTTGGAAAACGCTCCCACTGATCCCATGAAAGGCTCCAAGGGAAATATTTTTGATGCCTTGCCTGTGCCTCCTGGTGCAGCAGCACATTTGCTTCCACTGTCCTAAACCCACTCCCCATTTCCGGAGGGTACATTTTTAAAAGGAAAGAAAGAAAGAACACTGAAGCAATAAAATAACATTTCATGACCTACTTCCCCTCTTTCAACCTCTGTGAAAGAACCAAACTAATTGCTAGTTATTCTGTGGACAGGGAAAGCGGCACTTTTAAGGCAGTTAGGAAAGAGAAAGAGGTAGGGATGGAAATTAATAACAATAACAATATTAATATAGCTTAGTGGGGTTAGAGCATGGTGCTGGTAACGCCAAGGGTGCAGGTTCGATCCCTGTATGGGACAATTGCAATTTCCTGCATTGCAGAGGGCTGCACTGACTAGATGATCCTCAGGGTCCCTTCCAACTCTACAATTCTATGATACCTGACGGCGATTTAATGCAAACGTAGCTTTGGTGTCCGGTTTGCACCGAGTTGCATGAATCGCCTAAAAACAGAAGAGCTTCTCTTTTCTCCCCCACCCCCTTTCACCGCAGGCGTGGAGCTGGAAACCTCCCCCCCCCCGCCCCCCATTCCCGCACAAAGCTCTCCTAGGCGCCCCCTAAGGCGCCTCGCCCCACTCCTTCTGCCCCACCAAAGCGTAACCCTTACCTGCAGCCGAGCTCAGGCCCCGGAAGTGCTTCTGATCACTCTAGGAAGCGCTTCCTGTTCCAGCGACCCTAGCAACCGCCGCCGGCGAGGCGTTGCCAAGGAGGCCGCGCCTCCCGTCCCACGGTTCAGGCTCGCTTCTCGACTGGGAAAATGCTACCTCCTTAGGCCAAGAGCTTCTGAGCTGGTGCAGAGTGCAACTTTCGGGAACTGCAGCGCCCTTGACCCGAAACGGTTTAGCCGTCAAACCTTATGGGCGGAGGTTGCTTTTGCCCTGGGAGTGCACTGGCCCGAAATCTATATCTAGCGATGTGCAAATGTTTTAAATCTACAAACCGATCAGTTAGCGAACCTAGAAGTGCAAAGATTGGGGAAGGGTGGGGAATCACTTGTTGGGGAACAGGAACCGACCCACGTAGCAAAGCGGGATGCGCCCCGGCTAAGCTGACCTTGAAATCAAGTCGGGAACCAGCCATTTTCTATATTTTTTAGGTGATGCTTTTGTACCTGCGACATGCCCCTATCCAGAGGTTCGAGATTTATCACAGCTGCGTCAATGCATAAGCAGGCAGTGTGGCGTATAGACCATGTGCGAACACTTCCATATATATATATATATATACATACATATATATATGTATGTATGTATATATATATATATATATGTCCTATTGCAATATGATAATGGTGGTGGAAGCTAGCAAGAAGTGCACCGGCCCATTTTGAAGATCGTTTGGGAGAGGGGCAGCAAGCATTACTTGGCATCACCTTGCTGCAAAAGGACTTCTCCGTGAGCAGCTGAAAGAAACAGGGTGCCAAAGGGAAGAGGCTGGTGGCAGCAGAGGTTGAAGTTTGCCGCTGGAGCTATGTGGTGCCTAATGCAAATTCCTGGGAAGGTCCAGCTATCCCACAGCCACTTTGAAATATTGCTAAAAAAACAAGGTGACATTTGTCTCATCCACATAATGGTAAAATATAAAGTAATAGTGGTACAACTGGAATACCAACAAACTGTTAAACAGTGACATCTGCTGGTGAGTAGTGGTGGTCTTAAGATTTCAGAAAATGCTCACTGGGTTGTCCCCCGCCCCTTCATTTGAGAAAGTGGTCTCTGGTCCATGAAAGCTTATGCTGAAATCACTTTGTTAGTCTTTAAAGTAATATAAACCTTTGTTGGTTTCGTTCATTTATATTTCCAATCCATGCCAGAAAAGAGATGTGTGGCAGGTGACAAGATTCAAAACAACAATTTAATTACCCTACAAAATGAAATGTAAAATATTATAATACTGAGTAAGAGTTGAGTGTGGTATCCTCACTCAGGCTAACCCAATCTGCTTCCATACTAGACATTTTATCCTGAATTGGTATCATTCACGCTTAAAAACACCATGCAAGTGTAGCATACTAAGATATGTGTTCAAATAGTTTAAATGTGGGATTCACTGACAGAGTATTTGAGGATCAGTGAATTCACAGCAAGCTGAAGTCTAGGATGGTTGTGATTAAGCCTAGACTTGTTCCATCCAGCTAATGGTGTCAATTAGCACCATTTCCACCCCAACTGCCATTTTAAGCTCACTTTAACCCACTTTGCTTCCCTTCACTTTCCATACTCCAAACTCTCTCCACACCACTCAAAACACAAACACCAAGAATTGTTTTTTGCAAAATGCCTTCAGCTGATCATGTTTGCTTTTCCTTTTTTCCAGCAGACCCCAATTAGCTTTGAAATGAGCAAGAGAAAGACACTCTTAGATATTGTTTCGAACTAGAAAGCAGCTTAAGACCAGCTCTTTGTTCCACAAACCTTATTGAAATGACAACCCATATGCTGCTATCCCCCCCCCAATTAGGAGAGTCATTTTAAAATATAAGTTCCAACTATTTCATCCTCTACTGCACTTCTAGTTCCCCCCACCTCCACCAAGAGGCAGGATGTGGGCAATGAACTTTTAAATGTTAATTGCAATTTCCTTTTGTGTGTGCAAAAGCACATGTTTACTAATTGGATTGATAAAACTGAGGAAAAGGACAAGCAGTGGAGTGGGTATAGCTATAGAGCATATGGGTTTGGGCCAAAAGCAGTACAGAAAACATTAAAGGGCCAGTTCCAGTGGGGCCAATGGTCAGGAGAAGCAGCCAGGAGCTACTTAAACAACATTGTTGCATGCCACCCCAGTCTCTGAGCGGTGTAAGATTCCCGAGGTTCCAGGCACTTATCCACGGTCCGTGTTTCCTTTGGAATGAGGCACAGCAGAGACTGTGGTGTCTTTATGATATACTGGTTTATTTACACATATATACAACCTGAATCTGTGATGGAGCGTTTCACAGCAATAACAACCCAAGAGGGTCTTGATCAGGCTTCCTCAACCTCGGCCCTCCAGATTTTTTTGGCCTACAACTCCCATGATCCCTAGCTAGCAGGACCAGTGGTCAGGGATGATGGGAATTGTAGTCTCAAAACATTTGGAGGGCCGAGGTTGAAGAAGCCTGGTCTTGATTCTCCCATAACCACAGCCTTGGATTTAAGCGGAAATCAGGCGTGTCTCTGACTACCTGGCTTTTACTAGTGCTGACAGAGGCTGGCTGCTATGACCACCAAAATTTGCAGATTATCTCCAGTGGAATGGAATCACCAATGAAAGTGGTCAGTGGGATACTCGATGACATAAGGCTAGGACAAAACAACAACAAAACTAAACACTCAACATTTATTGAATTTCATATCTTCAGAATAATTTCATAAACACACACAAAGAGCCAATCAGTTGGTTAGATGACCTAAGGATAGGAAAACAAGCAAGCAAGCAAGCAAACAAACAACCTTAATAACACATTCAACATTCAATGAATTTCCTATCTTATTATCATGCACAAAGGGTTGTAGAGGGTAAAATCAGGATTCAGAAAGTGTTGTTGTTATATTAACTTTATATACTGCCATTTTTCTGAAGATCTCAGAGTGGTTCACAAGATAAAAAAACAAATGCAAGTTTCTTCATTAAAACCTATTACAATAAATTGAATGTTTTGGATGCATCCTAATTCATTCTTGTAAAAATCGTGAAGGTCTATATTTTAACCATGTGTACATTGTGGAGTATATGATTTCCATTTTAATCTATTTGCCCATGTTAAGGAGGACCACACTAAATGATAAGAGTCTTTAATAGCATAAGCTAGGATACTAGATGATAATGTGGAATAAATGCTGAAGACGGGGGAAACTCCTGCTGAGGAGTGATTTGGGGATTTCGTCGTAGCTGCTGCTTGGAGATAAGAAGTGAGGAGCTGAAAATATTGCTAGCCTGGATTGAAGCAAAGTATTATCGACCAGCATTTTATGTTCAGATTGGTTTATTGGAGTGTATAGGTGCAAGAGGAGCTCACAGGATTTTATTTTATTTTAAAAAAACCTCTTTAAAGCATTTTTTTTAAAAAATGCAGGAGAATGAAGGCATCAAGTCTAAGAGAAAATCAATATCTGAAGAATTACAAGGTGTTTTCCTGGATTCTGTTCTTTGTTACTGGCTGGTTGATGTTTTGCTGTCTGCTTAGTCCCCTGGGTGAAATGCTGTTTGTGGTGTAAACTGAGGTAGCTCTAGCAACCGAGGTCTAACAGCCTCTCTCAACCTAGTGCATTCCAGATGTTTGGGGCTACAATTCCCATCAACCCTAGCCGACATGGCCAATGGTCAAAGATGATGGGAGTTCTAGCCCAAAACAGGTTAGGGAAGGCTAGTCTAACGGCTAAGCCAGGTGCAGATAGTAGTATAATGGAACAATTCACATGAGTTTAGGCTGCAATGTGGGACAAAGAGTGAACACTGAAAGGCGTGATTGGATTCTGATTGAATCACATGCTACCAACACTAATCCATGTACTGGCTTGGGTTGATGTAAGCAGTTAGTATAAACCGAAAAAGCTCTGAGGCAGGTCTAATAATAATAATAATAATAATAATAATAATAATAATGATAATTATTATTATTATTATTTATTTATACTCTGCCCATCTGGCTGGGCTTCCCCAGCCACTCTGGGCAGCTTCCAACATAATATTAAAATATAGTAATGCATCAAACATTAAAAGCTTCCCTAAACAGGGCTGCCTTCAGATATTTTCTAAAAGTCTGGTAGTAGTTCTTCTCTTTGACATCTGGTGGGAGGGCGTTCCACAGGGTGGGTGCCACTATTGAGAAGGCCCTCTGCCTGGTTCCCTGTAACTTGGCCTCTCGCAGTGAGGGAACTGCCAGAAGGCCCTTATATATAAAGGAGAACCAGTGTGGTGTAACAGGTTGAGTGTTGAACTATGACCTAGGAGACCAGGGTTCAAATTACCACTCGGCAATAAAGCTCAGTTGGCCCAGTTATTATCTCTCAGCCTGACCTACCTCACAGGGTTGTTGAGAGGAGAAAATGCGGAGGGGAGAACTCTGTAAACCACCTTGAGATCCAGGGAGGGAAAGATGGTATATAGATGTGAAAAATGAATAAGAAGATAGCAATGCTGATAAAGAGAAGATAATAATATTTCATGACTCTTTTAACAAGAGAGACAGGAAGTAATATTAATGGTTAACTCTTGCTCATTGTTGATCTTAAGGTGGCCATGTGTCCTACTTTAGAGAGGGCAGTCCTCTGTTAGAGGACGGTCCTGACAGCTCTTCAATTTGAAGTCTTTCCCACCACGTTGTTTTTTTCTCTTTAAAGTACAGTAATTATTTCTGAATTTGTGCTTTTTATGCAAATCTGCACCTTCCTTTTTCCTTCTTTGGGTGACCTGTCAACAGTCCCCCTAGTTGGCATTCAGATTGAAATGCCCATTTTAAAGAAATGCAAAGCTTATCTAATAAAGCAAATTTGTCTTTTAGTAAGCCCAGTTAGGATGCTAAACACAGCTGTTTGAGTGACTGGAAGGTAATTGATTCTCTGACGTTCAGGAGCTTGCAGGTTTGATGAGGGAGTGAATATATAAAAGAGAGTGTGGCAATACCCACAACAGCTAGAGACTCGCCACTCTGGTTAGAAAAAGCTGGATAGGATTTTCTCTATTTCCTGGGACACCGCAAGAATTGGAAGTATTGTCAGGCAAGCAAGAAGGCCAAGAACAAGATTACAGACTTGAGAGGACCATTTTTCTGAAGGGAACTGTAAGTTAACACTTTGTTTGTTTGTTAATGAATAGGTGTTTCATGGTGGAAAAGTGAATTAACTATTCCTGTCTGCAGGATGCTTTGTATATTGATTAAGGTTGCAGTCTTGCGCACGCATTCTTGGGAACAAATCTCTCTGTACTCAACAGCATGTTTTTTAAAGCAAACATGCATAGGATTGGGTTGTAAACTACAGAGTTAAATATTCATAACTGGACTCCAGCTATGCAAATAATTCTAGGATATTTCAGAAGATTTGCAAAAGCAATCTGGACGTAATCTAGACAGGTACTCTGGATATGAGTTGGAATTTATTAAGTGCTGGTAAAAAAGAAAGAAAAGAAACCTGCTGTTTAAAGCTGCCATTTACATTTTATTTGTAATTCTTTGTCTCTGGAAAGTAAGTGGGTAAGTAATATTGTTCTAGCTACCCATTTGCTTATGGACAAAAAGAAAAGTGAGTTGCAGAGATGTCTGGTTTATTAGAGATAGAAGGCACAAGAGGAGATGGCATTTTACTGCAAAAAACTTTCAACAGGGTAATCTTTTGAAATGTAGGCAAAAATGTGGCAGCTAAACTTTTTTTAAAAAAATTTAAACTATGCCTTTGGAATTTATTTGATTCTTAGGCAGCTATTTTGTGTATAAAGTGTTATGATGGTGTGTGCCAGGTCTTAGCCAAAGTTTACTCAGAAGCAAACTCCACTGATTTCAAATAGATTTCCTGGCAAGAAAGTATGTCTAGGGCTACAGTTTTCATCTGACATGCACAGCATTTTTTTTTAACCCTGAAAATACTACAAGGCTAAAGGAGTGCCTTACATATCTTAATCTCACAATGTTTGCATTGTTTACCAGACTGATTTAGTAAAATCCATGACATAGTCAACAGCCGTTTATCTGCTTGTCTGCCTCTGCCTACCATTTCGTCATTATCTCTACAACTAGATTCTGCTTGGGCTCACACCAATTACAGAAGTGCTAAAAAATTAACAGGAATAAATTTGTGTTTTGGGATTAAAGACTTTTGTTTTGAAAGAGGATTTAAGCAACCATAGCATCTTCGGTTTCTCAAATGACATCTTGTTGGGCTGTCAACTCAGCCCCATTCACTTAGGGAGAGAGAGATTGAAATCCTTTACCTTCTGAAACATCAGGATGCTTAGACTCAAATCTTGCCCTCCAACAGATGAGTAATGGTGATGAATAAAAGTGTAATTACTGTTTCTACTGCTACTTCTGAAAACATAGCAGAGTTTTCATGGCACCTTATGCACAGATTGGGTCCTGCCATCTTAAGTTCACCGGTACAAAATTAGGTGCTCCCAACCCATTCGCAGGAAGATTAATGTGACCATAATTTTTGAACAGGGAATGTCGATGAACGGAAATAACTGGGATGGAAAGAAACAGAAGTCTATTAAGAGTTCAGCCATACAGCCCTGAAAATCTAAATGTTACATCCCCTGAAATGCTCACAATGGTTTTATTGTGTGAGGCTGTTTCCCCTGAGTCACTTATCTATTGGAAGCATCCGAGCTGGATGTTTCCAGACTACACAGGGTTGTAGATCAAAGGCGCAAAGAGTCATTTTGAAAATGGACTCTCTTGCCCTTTCTATTCCTCTCTACTATTGAAAGTTAGTTCAGTTGAAGTGATGGCAGTTCCAGAACAGTAGGCAAGAGATCCAGCTTGAGGCTGCAGCTTGTCTGCAGCTTTTCAGCTATACTGAGGAATAATAGCTCTGTATGCTTTTGTGTTTGTGTGGCAGCAACTCCCTCTATTTCTTATGTTCTGGCTGTAAGTGCTTATGTACCACCACCATTTACAAAAGGGAGGTATCAGCCAAGTTTGAAGAAATAGAAAACATTTTTTGGGGGGGCGGGCACGAGCCTAAAGTAGTGAAACCTCGCAAAACAATTCAGGGGGACTGAGCATACTCGGTTCCCACACTGATTGTTGTAGGGTCAATACAGCGGCATCCTGTTGCAGGTCCGATTTGTATCAACATATTTCTGAAAAAGGCATCCTTTTGGAACTTGTATTTGACTACAAGAGGCTACAAGAGGCTCCACAATGGGGCTTTCCCTTCGTCACGCAAGGATTGGAAGACTGAATATCGGTGCTCAGCAACTGTCCTTTAGGTCATTTACTCCAAACTAAGGCTGGATGCCTCGTACACCCTAGGTAGTGTGGTTGCTGACCTTGAGCCAGACATCCTGGAAAGTGAAGTCAAATGGGCCTTAGAAATAATAATAATAATAATAAATTTTATTTATATCCCGCCCTCCCCAGCCGAGCCGGGCTCAGGGCGGCTAACAACAGTCAAATAACAATCAAATAATAGCACATTCTAAAAATATTTCGTTATAAAAATTAGTTAAAATCAAATTGATGGCAACCGATTAAACAAAATTCTGTGCAGGTTGCCGGAGGAGGGAGTCAGGCTGCGCCCTGACCAAAAGCTTGGCGGAACAACTCTGTCTTGCAGGCTCTGCGGAAAGATGTCAGATCCCGCAGGGCCCTAGTCTCTTGTGACAGAGCATTCCACCAGGTTGGAGCTGCAGCCGAGAAGGCCCTGGCTCTAGTTGAGGCCAGCCTAACCTCTCTGAGGCCTGGGACCTTGAGGGTGTTATTATTTGTAGACCGTAGGTTTCTCTGTGGGGCATACCAGGAGAGGCGGTCCCGTAGGTACGAGGGTCCTAGGCCGTATAGGGCTTTAAAGGTTAAAACCAGCACCTTAAACCTGATCCTGTACTCCACCGGGAGCCAGTGCAGCTGGTATAGCACCGGATGAATGTGATCCCGCAGCGAAGACCCCGTAAGGAGTCTCGCTGCGGCATTCTGCACCCGCTGGAGTTTCTGGGTCAGTCTCAAGGGCAGCCCCACGTAAAGCGAGTTACAATAATCCAGTCTGGAGGTGACCGTCGCATGGATCACAGTGGCTAGGTCAGGGCGAGAGAGATAAGGGGCCAACTGCTTAGCTTGGCGGAGATGGAAAAATGCCGCCTTTGTTATAGCTGTAATCTGCGCCTCCATAGAGAGGGAGGTATCGAAGATTACACCCAAACTCTTAACGGACGGTGCTGGCACTAATTGCACCCCCGCAAGAGATGGGAGTTGCCCCCTCGATCCCATATCGTCCCGCCCCAGCCAGAGGACCTCTGTCTTCGAAGGATTTAACTTCAACCGGCTCCCACGTAACCATCCAGCCACAGCTTCCAGACATCTGGTCAGTGTGTCTGGGGCCGAGTTAGGATGGCCATCCATCAACAGGTAGAGCTGGGTGTCATCAGCATACTGGTGGCAACCCAGCCCAAAACTCCGGACAAGCTGGGCGAGGGGGCGCATAAAGATGTTAAAAAGCATCGGGGAGAGAATCGCACCCTGAGGCACTCCACACACCAAGGAGTGACGCGATGACAATTCCCCCCCAAGCGCCACCCTCTGTCCCCGATCAGAGAGAAACGAGCACAGCCATTGAAGGACTGTGCCCTGGATCCCCACGTCGGCAAGGCGGTGGTCCAGGAGTTCGTGATCCACCATGTCAAAGGCTGCTGACAGATCTAGAAGAAAGCACTGCAAATAACAAGGCCAGTGGAAGTGATGGTATTCCAGCTGAACTATTTAAAATTTTAAAAGATGATGCTGTTAAGGTGCTACACTCAATATGCCAGCAAATTTGGAAAACTCAGCAGTGGCCAGAAGATTGGAGATCAGTCTACATCCCAATCCCAAAGAAGGGCAGTGCCAAAGAATGCTCCAACTACCGCACAATTGCACTCATTTCACACGCTAGCAAGGTTATGCTTAAAATTCTACAAGGAAGGCTCAAGCAGTATGTGGATCGAGAACTCCCAGAAGTGCAAGCTGGATTTAGAAGAGGCAGAGGAACCAGAGACCAAATTGCAAACATGCGCTGGATTATGGAGAAAGCTAGAGAGTTCCAGAAAGACATCTAATTCTGCTTCATTGACTATGCAAAAGCCTTTGACTGTGTCGACCACAGCAAACTATGGCAAGTTCTTAAAGAAATGGGAGTGCCTGATCACCTCATCTGTCTCCTGAGAAATCTCTATGTGGGACAAGAAGCTACAGTTAGAACTGGATATGGAACAACTGATTGGTTCAAAATTGGGAAAGGAGTACGACAAGGCTGTATTTTGTCTCCCTGCTTATTTAATTTATATGCAGAATACATCATGCGAAAGGCTGGGCTGGATGAATCCCAAGCTGGAATTAAGATTGCCGGAAGAAATATCAACAACCTCAGATATGCAGATGACACAACCTTGATGGCAGAAAGTGAGGAGGAATTAAAGAACCTTTTAATGAGGGTGAAAGAGGAGAGCGCAAAATATGGTCTGAAGCTCAACATCAAAAAAACGAAGATCATGGCCACTGGTCCCATCACCTCCTGGCAAATAGAAGGGGAAGAAATGGAGGCAGTGAGAGATTTTACTTTCTTGGGCGCCATGATCACTGCAGATGGTGACAGCAGCCACGAAATTAAAAGACGCCTGCTTCTTGGGAGAAGGGCAATGACAGGCCTAGACAGCATCTTGAGAAGTAGAGATGTCACCTTGCCAACAAAGGTCCGTATAGTTAAAGCCATGGTCTTCCCAGTAGTGATGTATGGAAGTGAGAGCTGGACCATAAAGAAGGCTGATCGCCGAAGAATTGATGCTTTTGAATTATGGTGCTGGAGAAGACTCTTGAGAGTCCCATGGACGGCAAGAAGATCAAATGCATCCATTCTTAAGGAAATCAGACCTGAGTGCTCACTGGAAGGACAGATCGTGAAGCTGAGGCTCCAGTACTTTGGCCACCTCAAGAGAAGAGAAGACTCCCTGGAGAAGACACTGATGCTGGGAAAGATGGGGGGCACAAGGAGAAGGGGGCGACAGAGGACGAGATGGTTGGATAGCGTTTTTGAGGTTACCAGCATGAGTTTGACCAAACTGCGGGAGGTAGTGGAGGACAGAGGTGCCTGGCGTGCTCTGGTCCATGGGGTCACGAAGAGTCGGACACGACTAAACGACTAAACAACAACAACAACAAGGCTGCATACACACACAATAACTTTAAAACACATTTAGAGCACATTTCCCCCCTTCACAGAATTTTGGGCACTGTTATTTGTTAAGGGTTGCTTGGAATAGTAACTCTGTGAGGGGCAAACTATGGTGCCCAGCATTCTTTGAGGGAAATAACATGCTTTTAAGATTTTGTGAGTACATAGCCTAAAGCACTAATCCCACTTGATTTACCGGGGGGGGGGGGAATGACTTCATAGCGGCTATGACTAAAATTCTGCCATGAGGCTACTTATGCTACTCTAATGAAGCCAAGTGTTCTCCCTCCCTCCCTCCCTCCCTCCCTCCCTCCCTCCCTCCCTCCCTCCCTCCCTCCCTCTATATCTTTGCAGATTGCCCCAGAAGAGTGAAGAATGCTGGACAGGGCTGTTCTCCTTCTTTTCCTCCATTTCATCATGTGTTCCCTCTCGTCTCCTCTCTACCCAGCACTCAGGTACGCATCTTCTCTCTCACCTTCCTGCCTATCGAAAACATGAGGTTTGACTTGACCTTTGTCATTCACAGTTAGTGGCCCTATCTATCTAAAAGGGCAGGTGAAGAATAGTTGAAAAGCAGCTCGTAACAAATCTATTCTCCATCTTTCTCAAAGATTACAGGCCATCAGAATTTGGTGGTCACTGTATTTTCAGAAAAGGCTTGAGTTTTCTCTTACACCACCAATATAATTCCTGAAACAGAGGTTTTCCCCTGTGATTAGGGCTATACATATGCTACCCTACAAACATTTAAGAACACAGGGAGCTAGCTGTCTTTGTTCATCTAGCCCAGCAGCCCACAATTTAACTGCTGCCTTCATTTGTATCACAAGCCTTACCAGCTTGTATATAAGGAGAAATGTCTCTGCCTGGCGCAACAAGATGCATAGCTGGGGTTTTTTTGGTGGTTTTTTGCTGCATGACCACCCCTCTTCTACCATTGTCTGCCAATTTTCGACTCCATATACCATGCCATCAGAAACATGCGTATTGCAGTTTGGGTATTTTCGACATTACTTCTGCTTTCTCTTGATGTGTTTCAGATATAGCCCACTCCCCATTTCTGGCAAGGCAGTGAGCTTTCAACTGCAAGAAAGTGGTCCTGTGCAAAGCCACAACCTCTCAGTAGAGGAGCAGGAGGAGGAGAACCTCCTCACCGACCCTGCTGAGAAAAGGTGGGTATACATCAGCACCCCACGTCCACTAGTCAAAGTGGCAAATTAGAATATAAGACCCCTCCCGAAATGAAAAGGCCCATCTAGTCCAGCATCCCATTTCAGACAGTGGCCACTCAGCTTCTGGCAAGCTCACAAGCAGGACATGGGTATGACAACTTTCCCATGCTGTTGCTTCCTAGAAAATGGTATATACTGGTATACTGTCTCCAAACATTAATGCTCTACAAAATAAATTTGCCTAACCTCAGCACTCAGGAGGGTGATATAGGTCAGCGGATAGACTGCTCAGTGAAAAGAACCTGCCCTGTTTATTTATTTCATAAAATTTATATACAGCTTGATTGTAAACAAACAACCCCCCCTCAAAGCTGTTTACAAAAAGAATAAACCAATGAAGTTAAAAACAATTCAAAACCTAAAAAACACTTTGAAATCAATAAGCTAAACAACCCAATTAAAAGACGTGTCAATATTGTGCATGTTTGGATAGACTTGGCTAAACAAAACCATTTTTTGCAGGCATGAAATAGTACAGCCAAGGAACCAGCCTGATGTCTATAGGAAAGTACTTCCAAATTTTGTGTGATGCCACACTAAAAGATTGATTTCCTACAAATGCAGAAAGAGTACTGTGTGCCTGTGCCATGTCAAAGAGTGGGAGCTGCAACCTGTAAATCTGTGCCCTCATTCATAACCTATGTGCTGTTTCTCACTCTCACACACAGTACACTTTGTGCTGCACCCCCAGTTCCTTCAAGCAATCTGCCAGTGCAAGAAGTACATAGCTCCAACAGGAGTACGGTAGTTCTTAATCCACTTCCTGTTCTCAGGGACGATGTATGTGAGACTGCTCTCTCCATCCAAGTAAAGGGAGGAAGCCATCATTTGCATGTTGTCCCAGGCAGGCACGGATAAACACAATGTCTGTGTTTTGTTAGGATGCAGCGTCATGCAGATGCAATATTTACTGATAGTTACCGCAAAGTTCGGGGTAAGATGTCAGCCCAGAAGTTATTGCAAGGCATTGTTGGGAAAAGACTCGGGTAAGTGGAACTTTATTACATATTACTTTAGTTGTAGCAGTCTGCTACATATAAGGCATAGGGTGCAAGCTCTGTGTGTTTCGATTAGGCACAGAACCTGTGATTGAAAAGCTCCTGCCTAGACATGTCCTGGAAAGACAATTGGCAACAAGAAGGCAGATTCATTCTTATAGTAATACGCCCATTATATTTTGAGCTACATTCAGCCCTGCACTGGAGGGAATCTCCTGTACATTTACAAAAATCTGGCAGCGTAGCCAATAGCATAACTTGAGATGAAAGTCCTCTGAGTGATTTTCAACACACATGAACATTCAGTGCCAATTGCTAATGGCTTTTATTCTTGATTTGCCTCCTGCAGATAGTAAATTCCCAGTATGCCCCAAAGATATTAATTGGAAAGTACACATGGGTCCCACTAACTGAACACTATGCCTTCTCAGGAAATTGTTCATTATGTGAGTGCTTGTAATAATGAGTTGGCAATTTTAACCGATTCCTATGGGAAAATTTCTAATGTGTTCTTGACTATGGAAATTTGGCCCCAAAATGATGAAAAAACCCAGGAAAACTCTGAAACATTCCAAAAGGCAAAGAAACAAGGGGAAAAATGCTCTAATTTTTCCCATCTCCCTCCCTCCCACCCACCCACCATGGTTTTTGGCAAAACAGCTGCTGACGACTAGCAAAACACAAAAGCAAGGCTTGTTTGAGGCTGCTTATTTGTTTACAGTACTACACACTGGTCCAGCTGTTTGGATATTTTAATGTTCAGTGTGTATAGTGAGGTTTGGGTGCTAATTCCTTTTCTTATAATGAGCATTTGCATAGCGGGACCCGAGTGTATTATTCCTTCACAAGCCAGTAGTGCAAGTGGCCTTTCAGCTGTTGCTGGAGTCCAGGTCCCTCTATCCAAATAAGCAGAGCCAGCCCAAGACATTTTGGCACCGGAGGTGAACCACAAAATGGCACCCCACCAGGGAAGAAGTGGTGAGTGAAGATCTATATTGGGAACAAGGGTGAGGGGAAACCAGCAGCACCTCTGATTTACCAAGAGGCCACTGTAGAGACAGCATTGAGATCCGGTCAACAAGGGAGCATGCCACTGTTGTTGCTATTAGAAGCACCAGCAGGCAATATATGCCTTGGAAGCTCCTGTGGATCCTGCCACCTGAGGCAGTCGCCTTTTCTTGCCTCATGGTTGGGCTGGCCCCGCAAATCAGCATGACCATTGATCAGGGATGATGGAAGTTGCAGTTTAGCTACATCTGGAGGGCTGCAAGATCCCCATTCCTGCATTAGAGGAAGATATTGCTACACTTATTACACTTTAAAGCAGGGGTAGAAAACCTGTGACCTTCTAGATGTTTCTGCACTACACCTCCCATCAACCATGACGACTAGTCATGCTGGCTGGGGTGATGGGGGTTGGAATCCAACCATATGCAGATGGTCACGGGTTCCTCCTTTCTTGCTTAAAGCACTTTTAAATCATTCTAAATCACAGCCAATCTTTCAGGTGACTTTTCAGTTGTGTTCTCACCCTTTATGTTGGGTGGGTGTATATGAGGCAATCACATGTTATTGAAGACAGGTCAAACAACTTGTTCATGGTCCATCTGAAGTTCATAACTAAGCAGGGGCTTGAACGTCACATCTCCCTGCTTCAAGACCTTCCACTCATCTACATCGTGCTGATTACAGGGAAGGCAACCTGGGGGATGAGGAACATGAATTCATGACGCGGAGGCAGTCTGACAGCATCCTGATGGGCAGTCGCTATCACCAGCAGATGGTACTGAGGAATTTCTTGGGAGCCATGTTGCAGAATCAAAGGTTAGTATACAAATTCCCTTGAGTTCACGAGGTTGTAGGGAGAGTGGGAGAACAAGAGCTTTGCATGCAGGAGTTCCTAGGCCCAAAAGATCAGGTAGCAAGTGATGGAAAAGAACTCTGTCAAAAGCCTGGAAGGACATGTTACCAGTCAATAATGGTCAAGATGGGTAGGGAGTCAGAGCTTTGTATGCTCCTATGGTGTAATCTTATAACTTGATCTTGAAGTCACTCACCAGTCTGTGCAATCAAATACCTACAGCTTGGTATCTTTAATAATCTGTTCCACTGCAAACAAAATGGTTTACATTACATTAAGTTGTTTTATTTCTATTTCCCCACCTCAGGTCTCAAGATATCAATGATGACCACTTGGAAGATTTTGTCAGTGTCCTAACCAAGCTAATGGAACTGTAAATAAGCTTTGTCCTGCTTCATTCTGGTCAGTGCCACTCCTGGAGCACCCTGCTCATCTTTCTGCTTCTGAAGCAGTACAAAGAAACAGACATATTACTATGTGCACCAATACTGTCCAGAATGCCATCAGGAAAACAAAGTGTGAGGGACTTCTGTTCCCTGTGCTTACTACAGTTTGACTGTTGAATATGTAGCCTCACTTCAGTTTGAAAATAAATGCCCCTGATGTATAGCAATCATATATATATATTCAAACTCTTTTTTTCCTATACAGAATTACTGCATAAAGGCACAGAGTTGTGTAATATTGAGTATTAGCCATGGGGGCCTCTGCCAATGAATTAATTGGGAACTGACCTTGGGGTTCACTGGAAAGTATATGACTGACTTCTGATTTCAGGACCATGGACAGCTTTTACCCTGCACTATGTGCTGCTGCTAGAAATAAAGGGAACATCAACCAACCAAATGACTACAGCCAAAACAATGTTGGAAGTGCAACAAAATAATTCTGAAAATGCAGAAAGCCAAACCTTGGGATATAAGGGAAATTCACTGCACCATCAGAAATGATCAGGGAGGAAAGGCTTAGGAGACCAAAAAGGAACACACATGCAAGGAAAGCAGTAAGAAGTGAAGCAGTAGAAAAAGCACTTTCATCTAGATTGCCATGACTACTGCAAAGGCCAGGGCTGCTATCCGGAGAATTCTTTCAAATACGCGCAAAAAGTGTGCCCAGATATAATAGGGCAGGGACTGGGAAACTTTTTGAACCTGAGGGCTGTGCATCAGTGGTAGGTGGAGCAACAAATGTGTATTTTACCTTTGCACAGAACTCTCTATTCTCCATACAGGCAAGCAAAAGGCATTATCAGAGTTCAAAAGGACACATTTCAGCCAGTGGCTTGGGGAGGGTGTGTGGGTGGGGAGAGTCCAAACAACCAAGTGGCCTGTACAGACACAAGTCATAAGCCAGGCTGCACATCGGCAAACCCCTCACAAATTTACAGTTCATTTTGTCTCATCCTCTTTATTCAATAAAGGAGACAATAGGAAAACAAATTCTTGGAGCCTGACAATTTCTAAAATCCTTAGTGGCAGGCAGGTGTTTATGCCATAACTCAAAGCACTTAAACAGTCAGTTAAATACAAAATGTGGGGATTTTTTTTTCTTAAAAAAACAAAAACAAAAAAAACCCCAACAAAATTCTTTTCCTTATTAGAGGCAATTCTTTTCCGTATTTTAAACTCTTCTTTGGCTCCTTCCCTCTGGAGCTCAAACTGGATTTCTTCCAAGTTTTTCTTTTCTTCTTGCATCAGTGAGTTCTGGAAGGACACACAGAAAACTTGCAAAATTAAAAATGCAGATGCAGAATAACAATTCCATGTATTAAGTAGATGCCCTCCTTTTTTGGCACACTGAATATATAAATTTAGCATCGTAATGAAAATTATGATTCAGGGATGGCCAAAAGCTTGAAGACTGCACAAAACATGCACTAAAATGGTGTTTATGGTAAAACATGTAAATTGTTATAGCCCAGTCTACGGATGCTTACTCAGATGTCAGCTCCTACTGTATTTAATGGGTATTCCAACTAAGTGTGCACAGAATGGCAGCCAATATTGAGTTATTAAAACTTAACTATTAGGACAAAAAAAGGCAAAAACTGGTTTTTACTGATCAATATGAACTGACCATTATCTTTCTGAGCCCCAAGCAGTATAGTATAAAGTACATAAAGAACACCTGCATCTAAAGGATGAGGGTGATGGGTTACTAAGATAGCAAGGCTCTAAATTCTGAAATCCGACATGCAATGCCCCTGGACAACGGAAATAGGAATAACACACATATAGATGCATTTCTGATGCATTAAAATGTTGCTGGCAAGAAAAAACACCCATGCAAATATCTGCTTTTAGCTGTGGCCCAGAGCATAATACTGAAAGCAACACGGTTTCTTAGATATTCAATAAGATTGGGATACTTCTCTCCTGGTAGCTTCATATCTTTCCTTTGGCAAGTGAAGGGTGCTGCTTTCAGTATATTCAACAGAATGATAACAGTAACCCTAATTTTGTAATACAAGAGATTATCATCACCCCTCCCCAAAATATATACATGGAGGATTGTAGCTAAGGCCACATAGCATATTTGGGCCCATACGTTCCTGAAAATTTAAGAAGGGACAACTTCTGTGAAACAACTTCTTAAGCATCTGTGCTTTCAGTATGTGGACTTCGGAGCAAAACCCAGAATTTACAAGAATGTTTGCTTACATTATAAAGCAAAGGAGAATAAATGGCCTGTACATTCCTAAGTTTTATATCCACAATCTAGATTGGCTTCAAAATATTTCATCCATGTTGGCACCGTATCACCACAGAATCTGAGAAGCGGTGCTGAATTTGGCATTTTGAAAAAACCATCTTTCATTCTCAAAGAAAAACCTTTCTAGCCCTCATTGCTATTTTAAAAAAAATAACTTTGAAATATGTGGGCAGTTGGCTGGTCAAAACATGGAAAACCTATAAGACAGCTTTCAGTACTCGAAGTTTCACTGCCCTGTACAGTTCTCACACTCTGTTCTATAACCCATTATCATTTCTATCTGATCTGCCTCCAGCCAACATACCATATTCTTTCAAAACCAAATCTGAGCAGCAAAATTATTACATTTACTTAACTGGTACAACTTATTCTGATTACAGAATGAGGAGGGGTTTTTTTAAGCAAAGAGCGTGAGTATTTTGGCACCTTTCAGCTTCTAAGCTATTATATGCTTAGAAGGCTCTCCAAGTTCTTTTTCCCAGACCAGGCAGAATGATGGATAAAATATGGGAAATGAAGGTGTTACACACATGCAAAGGGGGGGGGGGAATCAAATAGTGTGCCAGCCCGCCCAATTTCACATAGTATCTCAGGGCAGAGATGGGACATATCCGCCACATGAAAACAATATTGGATTTGTGAGACTTTGTGGTCAATCCAGACTCAAGCTTCCAAGTGTCTCAACTGTTCAAAGCCACAGGTGTGCAATCTAAATAAATATGAGTATTCTTTACTTCTGCCAGATGGAGCCACAGCCATCCTGATGGGAGATTGCCTGGGAACCACATGTACATCCCCCTGGGCTCCAGGATGGAAGAAAGGTGGAATATAAATACATGAAATTTAAATGAAATAATAAAATAAATCTGGTATATGCCTGACTGGAAATGTAGAAGGGGAAACAATATGTGGGATACTGGGCAGTTGTGCGGGTGTGTGTGTGTGTGTGGTGGAATCAAGGATGACTGTTCTGCAGAGTTTTAGGTGAAATCCTGTGCTGCTGGACCTAGCTACTGATGCAACACCCAGGTATGATACTAAAAAGGGCAGTTTAAGCTAGATCTGCAATTCAGTATACCACGTGAGCCTCCTCAGTCCATTAATGCAAGGAAAGCAGGATATAAACAAAACATTGGATTTTGAGCAAGTATTTAATTTTTAACTGATTAATTAACAAGCAGAGGTTGAAATTAAAACTTTTTAAAAATTGGTAAAGAGCCTTACTAAGCAAGGATGCTTGTGTAAGATGGTCATTAAGACATTTACGCAGGCTTGGAACATAACCAAAGTATCAAGGAGGAATCTGAATGGTGAGATGATAACTTGAAAATGAACCTTAATTTTAAAAAATGTGCCCCATGCCAGGTTCAAAGGCATACAAGGTGGGTGGAAAGAGGTTTCAGGTGAGTATGTTGGCTCAGGGAGAGGCGGCTGACAAGCATGAAATGGAAGCAGCTAGTATGGCTGGGCAACAGGCAACATCCAAGGACCCTTACTTCTAGGAAGAGCTGGTCACTAGCACAACCCCCTTTTACCGCAGCGTTCTATACTTTGCCAACCTACTGCTCTGTTCTGCAGCGATCCTGCCAAAAGGAGAGATGGGGAAAAGGTTCAGAGAGGACAGTAAAGGCAAGGACAGCAACGTTGCTCAAGGAACAGACAACACAGAGAAAAGAGAAGCATGCAGGCAGCAAAACCAGGCCTTCCAGGAACTCTACTGAGATATGGGTGAGCATCTAGGACTGCCACCCTTTTGCGACATGTTCAAAGAGAATTCTTGCCCCCAGACATGATGGATGGGGAGCCAATGGGTTCAGGTGACACTGGCCTGGGCAAAGCCATGTAGATAGCAATTTTACTACATGGGACTTTTATTAAGACATTTGAGGATAAACTGAATTCTTTTATCTGTATTGACAGCTAAATAACTATTTTAAGTTTTTAATAAAGAAAGGAATTGCAAACTTGATGCACCATCAAAACATGCCCAAAGCATTTTGATTATCCTTTCGAGCTACTAGAAGCCCTGGAAGAAACAAAACAGAAACTTAGGCCTGCTTTTACTTTTTTACTACCTTCACCACCACAGGAAGCCAACTGAAACTACATTTGAAAGCTGTTTTGTCTGTGTCAGCTTTGCTGTGCTGATTGGTCTCGACTGAAATGGTTTCCCTCTGCACCATCCCTGACAACATTTGATGGCCACATGGAAGCCAAGCCGACATGTGGAAGTGGAAACACCCAAAATGGCTTACCAGGCTGAGAAGCAGTTTCTAGCCGATTCCATGCCTGCAGTGCAGAAAGGGCCCCTTCTACATTTCTCTCAGTCTCCATAATAAATGCTTATAAGACAAGGTAGCAGTTCCAGGTTCATTTATACAACATTAGGATATCCTAAGTCAGAGGTGGCTACTTTGTGGCCCTCCAGAAGCCCTCCATTAATTACTGACATCACAAGTCAGTATGGCAGATAGGCATCTCTACCCATATTCTACCACTTAATGATGTCAGATAGATGTTCAGCTCTGGACTTCTTCCTAACACCCAACATTTAAATGATTGGTCTGCTACTCAGCCAAGCTCTCTTCAAGGGGACAGGTTCTGTTGTAACCCCCACTTTGGTCGCCTTACCTTTTAACTGCTTTATGAGCCAACATTCTGTTGCCTGCTAGGAAAGTGAGGCTTCCCAGGATAGCCAGATACTTGAGGGTCTGAAACATGTTGAGTTGAGTCCAGTACACGTACATGAGCCCCAACATTGCTAGGAAAAGGCAAGGCATAGTGGGTGAGATTGAATTTGAAAAGGAGGTACATAATACAAATCCACAGCAATGGGCAGCATACGATAACTGCATATTAATACCCAGTGACTGGGTATTCCTGTCAGTGTCTGGACCCTTGGAAAGGAAGACAACAATAAGCCTAAATATTGAGAAAAGTGCTAAGACCCCAAACCAACATCGCAAGCTGTCTAAACAACCCTCTATGCTTCTCAGGGTAGACAGGTAACCAACATCCCTGCACGGATATGGAAGAACCGAGAACTCTAGACCAGAAAAAATGAATCAGATGCTATAATGAAACTTGCTACAGCTGATGCATAGACATATTGAAATTAATGGACCTAACTTATGTCATGTTCATTAATTTCAATCGGTTTTACTCTTGAGTAATAGTTGACTAGCACCCACTGATTGACTAGGAGGAATTCAACACAGCACTATGGCAATTATTCCACAAGCGCATGTAGTTCAGCTTGCCAGACAGAACAACCCTCCTTCTCCTCCCCCTGTGTCTTGTTCTGGAGGGTTCTTCTGGCCCCACCCTGAGCCAATCGGGCAGGGGTGGGGAGCCCTGTTGCAGTAGCAGAAGCCCTTGCATGAGCTGCCACTAACAGAATGAATCCAACCCAGAATTTCTAAAATAGTGGCACTGCTTTTTCATTTCACCAGAAAAATATGAAGTGATGTAGAATGTTAAAAGGAGTTTCCCCAGGATTTTAAAGGAC